TATTTAGATACATTCGATACGCGTGATTCTATTAATGGCGTTGGAGTGTAAGCAAAACGGTGTTTGTATCGATAAAGGATTATCCGGTGCATAGCCGTGTCCTATTTCGAAAGAATGCTGTGAGTCTGCTCGAAATAAAGGCTGAAATTCTTTCGAAATATATGTTTACTCAGGCCTGCCAGGAGAACAAAGAATGTGTTCCAATCGATCATGGATAGAAGGGCTGCTGAACCCTAGGCAATTGTGGAGCTATCGTTAAGATATTTGGTTCTGTTGGGCTTGATTCTAAACCTGTCAAATATTATAGGTACAAACATATTCAAGAAAGTATAGAGGTTGAGTGCCATATCTACCAATTTTTAGTCTGCAGACTTGAGCATACAAATCGTCTCTCATTGTTTTTTCCTGAATTAGACGGGCTGCCGCAGTCTCCGAGACAAGCAAAGTTCCTCAAGTTTAGTACCGATAACCAAGACAGGCTGGCCACTACAAATTTTGCTATAAGATGCAACGGTCAGATTGAGAGATAAATGCGAATCAAGGTAGGCATTTGAGTTATAGGATGTTCGCTTCGGCATCGTCAGATATGGGTGTGGGTGGAAAGCAAAAGGGTCGGATTATAGGTAGTCTGACGAGTGTCTATGTGAATAATCATATTAATTTCAATCCCAAGAATACACCTAGAAGGACCGAAAATTAGACGAAAAGAAAATAATTTCAAATCCGTGGTTGGTGATTTCGAAAAGAAGAAAAGCGTAAAGCGAAGTGAACACTGCCCAGGTGCGGTAATGAAAGACATTGGATATTTCAGGCATGCGGTTTATCAATTTCTCTCTACGCGCCTAAGTCATCTTTGAATGCTTGCCAAGAGGTTATTTCGCACATGGGCAAAGTCATATGGAGATAAAATGGGAGCACGAAAACGCCGAATTAAGAAAGGTAATTGAAGTAATAGTTCTCGGGTTTAATACTGGATCGCACCTTATAGCATAGACTTCATTGTCAACGACCGAATCTAAATCTCGAAATCTCTGAATTTCGGAATATATAGATATGTATTTGGTGGGACTATAGTGTAAAGCTGTATAAAATTGAGATAAGAGGTTGAACTAGGGAAGTTCACTGTGAAACAACGGGAGGGCTGCGAGCACTTTTATCTGTGTAAGTTGAAATCCACGCTGTGATGCCCAGATCGTCACGGGACAATTGAACGGGATGCAAATAAATATCCACCCAGTAATCCGATCGCCCATCCATTGTGCGGTGTCAAGGCAAGGATTCAGAAATAGTTTGCAAAACTTGTCCGTATACTAGAAGCAAGAATTGCAAACCGCTGCTCAGAACCTCTGAATCATTTAGTGTCGAACGCTTATCATGGCCCTTAAGACTCAAGGTACTCCTCCTCGTTGAGAGCACTGATTTGGGCGTGGATATGGTTACTGAACCGTGACAGCGATGTGGCATCCGATCAATACTTGAATAATATGCTTGGGCTGCGATGTGATTTTGCCCTGAGAAATTGACGCCTGTAGAAGTCATGTTCGACAAAATGCGAACCAAATTTGAACAGCTTATATCAAGGTATAGAGCGCAAGTAGAAATCAGTCTCAGCCAGAATGAGTTGTGCGAGCGAAGTCGACTAGAAGACAACTCTTTATAGACTTCCTTGATAGGGAACCATATGGTATCGAGTTCGGCAAAGGATATCCAGGGTGTAATCAAGGATAATCTGGAGGGTTTTATTATATCAACCAGAGAGGGTATTGTTCTTCTTTTCAGTTCTTGGTGTAACAGTACCAAGGCATGGTTGTAGAGTTTGGGGTTGAGCTTGTTTGCAATGACAGCAAACCGGTGGATAGCTGATATGGCTAGGCTATCACAGCAACATAATTCAAGGACACACCACGGTCGCTGGAGAATCATGAGTAAGGACTCAACAATGTTTTCGCGGCCGACAATCTGGTGCTTAGAGAACTTTGAGGCATTTATAAGGAACCAAGGAAGGTTATCGTGAGGTGATATCTCTCGCGCAGGATTGAAAGGTGGATGCTTTAAACATGGCAAGGAGACAATGTTCACTGTGAATACATCGTCGGGGGTGACTAGAACAGGAATCACGCTTCCAACGACAGAAGCCGCCGATATAAGTTCTGCCTGAAACCCAGATTTGGATGATATGGTGCTCCAATCTGGTGAAGACGCGACAATAGAGTAGATAGCAAATGCGTCTCCTAGTGCAACCCCACCACCTTTGTCAAATGAAGCACAAAGTCGAGAGAGACCTTTCGGGTCGTAATTTTCAGTCTTATCCATAAATCCCTCGGTAGAGTGTGAAACCCTCACACCGAAGATGCTTCCACGTACATGCTCCGGTAAGGATTATGGTGGTGGCGGTATTGTAGGACGTGGGTGGATTTTCGTATAGGCGCATGGCCGATCACGTGTTTAGGAATTTGGACATTGTGATTCGCCTAACGTGGAGCTTAGATCAGACTCAGACCCCGTTTGTTCACAAATATGAGGAGCAGTTCTTCCTCTCTTCCATATACTCTCCTTGGTTGCCTATGAGGAAATCGTACATTACAAATGATATACGAACTAGAGGGATGAATACATAGGCGGTAGACTATGTTGCAGGTGAATAATAGGAGAGCCACGGCATACTGAGACTTAATTGCGAGTTGAAGCTCCCTTGCCTGCGGGAAAGTTCGTCTACCTTGTCGGGCGCTGTTTTGCTGACTGTTTATTGGATGAGGTGCGCCCATTGGAGGATCGCTCGAGATCGTCGGGTACGAACATACAAAGTACGATAGCGACTTCAGCTAGTAAGCACTAAACCTAATAAAGAAGGATTAGCGAAGTCGCGCGGGATCTTGAGTGGCTTTCCTCGTGTTTATTAACCTGGCAGACTTTCAATATTTTTTTTTTTTAAAAAAAAATAACAATGGGTCGTGAACCTTGTAGACTCGCCTGTCTTCCTTGAAATGCCATCATTGTCGCTGTATCTTCCAAGTCTCCTCTCGATAATTGGGCAAGCACAAGCCGAAAAGTTTCCGCAGTCACTAACAGACTTGCACGCTCAATTGAAGAAAGATGATGGAGTCACGTTTGACCCGCTCGGCGTCGCCGCCGTTCTCTACAACCCTCGCGTCGACAAAAGTGCAGCAAGACTTTATACTCAATTTGATCGAGGATTATTCATATGGCCACACCTGACAATGATCGGAGGAACTCTGCCACCTATGCAAATGCTCGTTGAACGCCTCAATGCCACGATGAAGTGGATCCATCCATCGATCAAACTATGCGCCCAAGATACCACGATGCTCCCCGTACGATCGGACGTATCGGGGAATGTATTTCGCCAGCTGCCACTCAACTTGAGTAACGCATGGCTGACTGATATAATATCCTTTCAAACATCCAAGCAACCTGGAAATGACTTCGTTGTCGTTTGTGTGGATGCCATGTACCGATCAATCGAAGAACGCCAGAAAAATGTCCGTCAGCAATCAGGAAACCTAAAGTGGCTTCTCGGGAAATGGACATTGGACTCGATTTGTCTGGCCAACGGAGCCATGCTAATAACCGGTATGGTGTGCGGGATTTTGACAGCCGACCTTTGGGCTTTTACCTTGTTTTTCCTATACAGCAGTCATTGGTTCGCCTCAGTGCTTATTTCTTTCACTTCGATGGTCAAGATTCATAAGCCAGATCATATCAAAAACGACATGCGGGATAGATATGCAGTGTATGAACGCGATGAGGGAGGCACTGTGATATTTAAAGGACCACAAAGGGAGCTTGAGGAATGGGCACGTTCCACTTGGGAATATGACCGGACCTGGGCAAAGGATTCTTTGCACTGGTTCTGGACCTTGACAGGGACATTCTCTGGTGTATCTTCGGTTGCATGTATGGTGAATATGAAGGGCGCTCTGCAACTGGCATTTTTGGGGGTTCTAGTATATTCGTCACTGGCTGAAATCGGCGCTACCAGGATTGCGCGTCACCTGCAAACCAAAGCTCATGGCCATATCTCTGTGGACAAAGTCTTGAATAACCCAACTCGAAGCCTAGCAATTATCCGTGCCACATTGCAAATTACCCCAGAATGCCGTCTCAAGGGTCTGGATTGGGTCAAGATGGGGCTACTTCCTCCAATGCAGGTCTTCCTGAAGATGCAGGAACTATTGAGAGAGATTTCAGAAATTGAACAAAGCATAGATCATCCTGGAGGTGCGGTGAAAGAAAAATGTGACAACTTCGTCAATGACGTGGATCCCTCTGAGCAGATGTTGGCCAAAAGGATAGTCAACGAAGTGACGAAGACACTGGGCTTTTGAAGCCTATTAAACAAGTCAACGGGTTTTACCTAGGGTTGGCTTAATGTACGTGGTTAGCACTTTGGTGAATGTCACACTTATTCTGAGGCTTGTTGCTTTCATGGTATTCTGTGATTTCTGTGGTTTCTTTTTCTTTTCCTGCATACATACCAGCCTAAAGAATTCTGCGAAGTTATATATATAGCATCTAGCCGTACACGAGAAATCTGAGAAATGCTAAAAATGCGACACGGCGAGAAGGTCACCTCTGGCTCATTATAGAATGTTTAACACCTTGCTGCTAGATCTTGCTTCCATACGCCTGTTTTGGATCCAGAAGATTAAGACTTGGAAGAAAACAAGAATCAGTCCCAAAATCACTAGGCCAATCATGATAAGGACCCCTCTCGGATAACTACCAGGTCGGTAGACTCATTATTAGCGTTGTAACATGGGTAAGATCTGAAAGCTTAGACTTACAATATAGCTGACTCGTCCGCTCGAAATATCTGGGTTCCCGCCATAAGCCCCCCCCGTAGCTGCCATGACAACTTCTTTTAGTTAGTAAAGAAAAGGCACGGCCCACAATAGGGGTAGTAGTCTTACACATTCTTCATGTGGAGGCAAGATTGTTAGCTCATCTATTTGGAGGAAAGCTAATAGGAAAGACTTGACTCACGCAACGCTTATGTTCCTCTCCTCAGAGCTCTTGCAGTTGATTTGGATCCAAGAATTGTGGATTGGGTGATACCCCACAGCCAGAGCATTAACTGCTGTCCAGAGTCCGAACTTGCCCCATTTATCCACACGGTGCATCATGATTCTTAGAATTACCAACGCGATCAAATAGACAAAGATAGCTACCATAACAGTAAGGCCCCTTTTGTTCGATTTGTCGCTCATCCATGCAAAAAGCAAGATCACGGGCAGAGTGAGCAAACTTCCGATTGCAGAAAGTGCATTTGCCTCAATCCGAGCAAAACCAAGTTGCATAAATATACTTGGAGTATATGTCGTAAGAGGGCTCCATGTAGCGAAGACGCAGCCTGTGGCAATGAAGTGCGGCCATTTGTGTACGTTGGTCAACGTCTTCCAAACTAATAGGAATGATATATGCGTTTTTCCAGGGGGAGCCAATGGTTTCTTCATTGGCCGAAGCACTCCGGCCTCCAAAATGTTCGCCTGATTAGACGAATCAGAGAGTTCCTTGTGTTCAGGAAGGAAGAAAAAGAGAATAATAGACACAGCAATGGAGAATAGACCCTCAACTACAGATTTGTTAGCATAGATTGGTGTCTAAGGGATCAGCCGTAATCGTACCGAGGAAGATCCATTGCCAGCCAAACAGACCATTTTTTCCGTCCAGCTTCAAGAGAGCAGCTCCAAGAAGCGGAGAAACAGCCGTTCCGCCAAACATGCCGAAGAAGAATATGGCGATTCGTTTTGTCAATTCTTGCTTGGTATACCAGGTAGAAAGTGTGTACATTGCACCAGGAATATATCCAGCCTCAGCAAGACCCAAAATTGTTCTAGTGAGTAGGAAACCTAACTTATTGCGTACAAATATTTGTAGGCAGGCTACTAGCCCGAATACGCAGACTTGTGCACTGATCCATTGGCGAGGACCAACCTAATTTAACTTAGTGAATCGTGTATCGTATCGCTAGGGATACGACATACCTTATGTAGGATAATGTTTGAAGGTATCTCAAGTACAATGACACCAAGGAACATCAGTTGATTTCCAAGATTGATAGTATTTTGGTCGACGGATATGGCGGATGCAAAATTTCCTGTGAGTGCGCTGGCAATGTTGGTCCTGTCGAGCTGATAGCTAGCGAACCCAACTACCAAAAGGGGTAACACTCGGAGGTCCGCTCTGTTAACTTGTCAACTCGATCATCCACCGGAGCCTTTAGTGAGTGGGTTCAAGAGGGGAAGGACATACATTCTCCGTTTGTGGTCGGAATACTTATTGTCACAATCCTCGATGTTGTCCATGGCATCGCGATGAGAACTGCACTTTGTAGATTTATCCATATTGTCATTCAAGGCAGACTCCATGTTTTCCAGTATCAGACACGAAGAGAATTGGCCAAAAACTTCGCAAGGCCTCTTTTCGTCATTAGGGGACCTTGTGGCCCATTTTAGAAGTTGAAAACCTTGGGGGTGATAAGATAATGTTATTCGGAAAACGACTAGAATGACAAAATGTACAAGATTAGTAACATTTAAAAAGATAACTACACGGAACTAATGAAAACAAGCCACTACAGGTGTTACAATGTGGCTCCTATTAACTAATTACTGAGCCCTCAAGACGTCCAGGGATGTCAAGATATAGTTACGAAAGTCTCATGTTCAATAAATTGAATAGCTAGCTATTTATCGACATATGTTGATCACAATAAAACACGGAATCAATGCCAGTTCAGCTTCAGTACGTCCTATCACTCAAATGATTCTTGGAATTGTGACGTCTGCGGAGAGCCTTGTATTCAAAGGCGGCAGTGAACCTGAGCATTGTTGAGGTTGATTGGAATTGCAGCGTGAGAATTGCCATCAAGGTCCAGATAGGTTTGCTGAGCAGTCAAGGTACCGATAGTAGCACCGTTGTTCGTGATGACACAATTAATAGATGGTGCAAAGTTGGTGAGCTGGGCGGCGGTTGCCTCAACAGTACCACCTGCTCCAATAGAGGTACCACTGAAGAGCGAGAATACGCTCTTATCGGTGTCATCGGCTTGGAATGTCACGCCAGCATATGCTCCAGATTGGTCATTGGACAGAGCCACGGTAACTTGGTTGGATTGGCGGACCTCCAGAGGAGTGGCAGAGATAGCGACTGCCATGAGAGGGACGATAACAGCAATGTCGAACTTCATTTTGAGATGTTTGGAGGGAGCTTTGCGAAATGCAATGATTTTCTTTCCAGGGAAGATCGATTGGAAGATTTAAGAACAAGGTTGGAGTAGAATGTTTTTTGGGGTGAATGGAATCACAATTCGCAGGAAGGAGGTTGATTTTATACCTTTCTTACTGGAATGCTGAGCTCCAACCCAAGGCTGAATTCTCCATAATCTTCTCATCTATGCTATTCTTATACACATCTCGCTGACGATACGAGCTGCCGCAACCGAGTTGGGTTTACTTTAGAGCACAGTTAGCTGATCCGCACAGCCCTTCGTATACTAATCAGGTGAGCTTCTAGATTAAGGCCACCCATTCCTATTCCATGTATACGTCCATGCGAGCAATAACCTTTACAACCAAATGAAGATGCCATTCTTGTGCACCTTAGATGATGCGTTTTAGCGGTTAACGCCGCATTCAAGAAATCCAAGCAATAAGATAAACTACTAGTTCAACCGTGAATAGTGAAAATGAAACTACAGGTAAAGATAGTATTCACGCACGAAAGCCATCGCGCCAGAGATGAATTTTCTATAGAGGGGTCCTAAGAGGTCCTAAGACTTGAGTAATGTATTTATGGATGTAGCTTTTCAGACACTAGGCAACCCACCGTCTAAATGAGTGCGCTGTTGGGCGACTAAAATCTAATGCATTGAAAGGATTATATGGATTTGGTAAATTTATTCTATCTAGACCCATATTTCTTTCGGATAGGCTAATTGATTCGAATAAAGATGCTCTATTAAATACACAAAAATGACAAGAAGTATCGATCAAATACACAGCCATGCTACCACGGGACCCATGTCTCATTCTTCAACATCAACCATAGAGAAGATAGAAATCAAAGACATTTATTTACCTAGTGAGTTATCTTGGGTTGGCAAATACGAAGAGGCCCGGCTCTAGGTTATACATCTAACATTTCAATTACGTGGAGCTGATGGCCAACCTCGTATTTCACCCCGCCATGTCTTACCATCTAAAAATATCTGGGTTCATTCTAAATGAGAGGGCTGGGTTTCACTGAGCCACTGTCATGCGTCTTGGAAATCTCGCGTGACGTACTATACACAGTTGTATACTTTAGATATGATTTCGCTCTTTGTCTTTTGAATATGGAATATTCTCCAAACTTGATTATCCGCAATGTGCGAGCCTGAGAAGCTACTACGTTAGTGAACTGTTTGGCGAAACAAATATGAAGGCTCACTTAAATCAAATAAAATTAAAATAAAATAGACTGTTAAGGTAGATTGGAAAAGGATGCGTAAATTACCCTATTAGTCGAATGTTAGAACTGTAAGCGTATACTCTACAGTCAGGCAGGGGGATAATATTTACATACGGTACTGTGCATATGAATTTAAGGGCCGGATAAAGCAACCTGGCTGCCCTTAGTGTATACATCTATCTGTACCTAAAAAAGGGCTGCTTAGAAAGCTTAGCAGGATATAGCACTGGCGTGGCTGAGTCAAGTCTAAGGAAGCAGTACACTTACTACAATATCGTAGATAGCTATAGAAGGTAATAACGATGCGAAACATTGGCAAATGCAGGGCATTCTAGGTCACCGTAGTCCAACGAGGCCAGGTAGTTCATGGCGATTTGTAGTGGACCAGTTGGTCTACCATATTTGTAATGTTTCTTGCGGTGTTCTATAAAACTCGGCGGTATACTATAGTAGTCGGTTCTCTGCATCTTAAGGCATGAGTGTACAAGGTAAGTGGGTGTCTAATTGCACGGGAAAAGAGCCATTTATTAAGGTGCGGTTCTCATACTAAGATCAAATCAAACAACGGTGCCATAAGTGCGCATAAACAGGTTGGACGGTCTCTCGCGAGAAGCAAATTCATCGTCCACAACATATTCAATTTCAGGCCCGTCCGCTTTGAACCCCATCTGACCATACACATGTCGACCCATACTGGACGCTTCGGTTATGGCTTCTAGGTCCCCACGTCGTTGTGCTTCATCAATGCCCCACTGCACGAGCTCTCGCGCGATGCCTTTCCGTTGGTGCGACGGATTGACGGCGCACATATCTAGGATCATAACCGCCGGCAGGGCTGCAGTGGCTTTCTCCTTGATTACTGCAGTGCGTCTTCTATGCAGAGAGGAAATTGTTTGACAGAGGTAGCGTTGTTCAGGCTCATTTCCGGGGTACAGCGTATTGAGGTCCATTGAATGTGCTAGGTCTTCCACTGGAGGATCACCGTAGCCCTCTACGCTGGAAGCTTGCACCCAAATACCGAAGCCCACAATGATGCGCCTCTGTTCAAACTGTGGACATGGCAGCGTAGCCTTGAGAAATATGGTGTTCGGGCGACCATTTTTGTCATTTGTTTTGTGGCGCCAGCGGGTGACCATCCTCTCGGCTCCAGATGCCCTCCCCTGAGGTGTGTCCCATCCTGGGTTCATGGCTATCCAGATCCCATCCTGCACTTGACGACCGAATGCCTCGCATACGCAGTCAAAAGCCTGAATGATATCCTCGGGTTGATCTATGATATCGATACGCAATCCGATATCGGCTCTCCGTTTCTGAGGGGCCATAACTGCGGGGTTGACTCGTCCAGTTGGTGTTTTTGTGCGTAGGTGCCAAATGACCTTTCAAGTTGAATACGTGTGAAGAAAGAAAAGGAGGTGTTAACGCCAAGGCTCTAATAGAGTGGACAATTCGTTGATTGGGTCTATATGACCACTCGTGTATAGATGATCTCACACACTGACTAATAGTGGACCATCTACAGAGTAGGTAGTGGGCGACCTCGGGAGGCTTTACTTTTACATAATAAATCAGGCATACCTAATGAAGAACACGTGGTCAAAACCAGGTCAGGGAATGCAACTTACATCAGTTGCCTGCATTTGCGATAGTGCATTTTGGGGTTCTATCGTTGGTCTTTGTCGAACTCGCCGTAACAGTTGATTCTGGGAGAGGCTCACTAGGCATGTTGTTGTGCGTGGGTGTCTTCGTTGTGGAGAAATCTGCTTTAGGGACCTTGGCATCCAATCCTGCTGGTTTAACAGTACAGAATGCGATGTGCGCAATAAGAAAATCTTCCACGGATAAGCCACAAAGGTGCATAAGCCACAAAGTTGCATAAAACATAAAAGATCCTCAGGGAAATGCAAACAAGGCAAATAGTGTAAATATCCCCACTTCCAACCAGAACTGGTTCCATTGGCCGGGTACCGAGGTATCCATGGATCCATGGACTTATCCGCTCCCCATATCAACAGTCCACTCAATAACAACGAACAAGCAAAAGCACCTTGGCAGCACTATTGTAATTTCCACTGGCGCAATTGTTGTCTCACCGTCCAATCAATAAAATGATTTCACCTAGCATTGTGCTTTCGGCAAATTTCGTGATTCGTTGATCTTCGAATGTGTGTAAAAGTTGAGGTTCGCCTCTCTCGGTCGGCTTCCGCGCTGGAGTACCAATTCGCCATCTACAATGCACATAGATACCGAGTAGCGTATCCAGCCCTGGAGGTACTGTCAATATATATGAGGATAAGCCAATATACTACTCTCATTGTTTATTGTTCGAAAGACTCTCCCTATGATGCCCGGAATCCTACCACGTGGGCCAGCCGTAGGCGTCCACGTATTGGGCTAGTCAGGGGACAGTCGACGCTAACGGCTAGGATGTTGTATAACGGAGATGGACCCGATTTTATATTTTAAAAGTCAGTACCTCTTAAGCTCTATTGTCATTATTATAAGAAACAAGACTCGCCACATCATCCCTCGTTAGATCGTGAAGTCAGAATATCATTCAAGATTAGCATCATGAAGAGCTCGATATTCTGTGCCCTGGCAGGTTTAGCCATGGTAGGTCTTTGCCAGCCACTAGCTCCGGAAAATGACATAGTGTTTTCGTCATCGAAGACCACTTCGAGTCCTCTTCAATATGCAGGCGGCAACGCCCCGTACTTTGCAGGTAAGAGTCTTGTTATCACGAGTCTTCTTGTTTACTGATATGCGATAGGCCCAAATGTGAACGGCATCGAGAACAAGACCCCAGAAAAATGCACTGTTCGGCAGGCTGCTTATGTTGTTAGACATGGTAGTAGGTATGTACGCTATCAAACTATATCATAACTGTAATGATTTTGACCTGAAGGCCGGCAGATTTCCAGATACTGGCTCATATGAATCCTGGGTCGCGCTTTACCACAAGGTACGTTATTCTTGCTTATATCCGCGGGTTTTTAGCCTTGCGAAATTCTCACTTTTCATCCCTTTCGATCAGATTCAAGCTGCAACACAACAAGACGGTTTTGAGGCTCGGGGATCGCTCAAGTTTATTCCTAAATGGAAGCCAGTATTGACAAATCCTACCTTGCAATTGGCACAGGAATCGATGACAGGGTGGAAAGAGGTACACAGCCAAACATGCAAAGCGATGATTAATTTGCTGATAAACTCTAGGCAGGTGATCTTGGTTACCAACTACGGTCTAGATGTAAGGATTTATTCATTGTACAAGTATGAAGTACTCGAGCTCACAAGGTTCAACAGATCCCGGATTTTATCAGGATGGCACTCCATTCCATGTGTGGGCTAATCAATACAAATCCCCAATCAATGAATCACGGGTGGTCCAAACTGCCAGAGCCTTTCTCAATGGATACCTCTATGAGTATGCTGATAGCTATGGTACTGTCGTCAGCGTGAACTCTACAGGATCTCCTGCTGCTATTGGCAACTCTCTTGGGCCTTCGGATTCCTGTCCCGCATTTGGTTCTATCTCTAGTGGAGGGAATAATGTGACGAATTGTAAGTTCCACGACGCGATTTCTGTTCTTCTCGTTAAGATTGATGTTCCTCACCTCAAACCTGTTTCCGGCGCAATATCCTTAACAATGTATGCTCACATTACTATAGGGGATGCTACCTGGCTACCAAGAGCCTTACATCGTATCAACTCTCAAATCAGAGGAAATCTTACGTTTGACGAAACTGATATACTTTTTTCCCCCTACCTGTGTGCCTACGAGAGCCAGATTGAAGGGCGTCTCAGCCCTTGGTGTGGTGTCTTTACAGAAAATGAACTGCGAAACTATGCATACTCACAGGACCTGAGCTATTTTTACGGCGTCGGGCCCGGTTCAATTGGTCCATCCAAGGTGCTTTTCCTTCCATTCCTGAAAAGTTTGCTTTCTCTCCTAGAGGCCGGTCCTGGACAGGTCGGCGTGGGAGCCAACGGCACTGAATTCAACATTCCGAATCTTATCATGGCTTTCACGAATGACAACCAACTTGCCGAGATGACTGCTGCCATGGGAATTTTCGATTTCGAAGCGCCTCTTCCCGATGATCACATACCAACCCACCACTTGTATAATGTGGCGCACTTCATCACCATGCGAGGGACTGTTGCTTTCGAAGTCATGGATTGCAATATCAACAAAGCCGTTGGCGGGCCCCACATCCGCATATTGTTCAATGATGCTGTTTATCCTATAGCCAGTTGTCAGAATGGCCCTGGAAGGAGCTGCGCATTATCCGATTACATTTCCTTGATTGATAAGAAGATTAGTGAGGCGGGTGATTTTTCGGATTACTGTAACCTGACGGAGTCGGGCCGCCCTGAAGCCGCTGCTGGGGCTAGTTTCTTCCAGGATCTTTCCCTAGACTTCTTAACCTTTGTCAATCCCTGATCTATAATTTGCTATAGCTTGAATGTTTATGTTTATACGGAGACCGGGGCTACTGGGTTTGGTCTAGGTACTGCTACACAATGGAAAACCTTGTTGATCAGCCCCATGGGATCTCCTACCTGTTCTGGGAATCGGTCGACTGGCGCGAAGCCTGCGGGGGAGAAGAATATGGTTGGTAGATATGATTTAATACATCTGAAAATTCCAAAAGCTGTATTCTTGGACATGGTCACTGGATGTATTAAATAACGCGAGATGAAGAGACTGTTTCAAAAACTGTTCATAACACGGGGCATCTTATGGGTGTGAGTAGTCTTGCACACTACTCAGTAAAATTTAGGACTAATATAATCGATATTCAAAAGAGTCGAATTCTAACCATTTTAAAAGGTTAACGATTCTACTGTGTAGTAGCCACTAAAATCTCCCAGATTGACATTCTCTCTCAAAGAGGAAAATAGTTATAAAGAAAGGGTTGGGCCATTTTCGAGTCTGGGTATATGCCTGACGGGCCTATAAGAGAATGGAAAGCGTTATGATAAAACGGTCGATGCAATGAATGATGTTCCTCTGCGCTTAGCATGATACGTAATAGTCCGAATATTCAATATTTACATGACTTGAACTTGCGTACACCAACCACAAACCTACGGACACGTTGCAATGTATGTACCCTGCATTGCATATATAAACCGTATCTTTGTTCGTACCCCTCTTAATGAGACTCCGCTTGTCGGTCTCAGAGCTGGTGCCATAGAAAGAAAGCGTTCGCTATGTCTCCTGTCAACCCTTCAAGCTCATGTCCAGGAAAGCACGACGCCCTACCGACCATGAGACGGTCAAGAGGGGCTCAGGGCCGACACAGACGTGATGCTAGTGAGGGATGGTTTCATTGGCTCATCAGGTGGGCAAGAATTTCCACACCCTGTACAGCCTCAGTGATGCAACCATAGTTATAATGACAAATCATGTCTTAAGTATTATGCATCTGCTTGTTTACAATATATCATGCGGTTGACTACCACAATTTGGTAACACGTCGCAAAAACCCCGCACTCGTATGCATAAAAATCACCGTATTTTCCCCTCTCACCTTTATACGGTCAATCTTACATTTTTCAATTTTCAATTTGCAAGATCTGCAAATTCAAAGTTGTAGTGCTGAGTTCATCGCCAAGGGCTTTGAACGAAGTTAGCGTTAAATCTTCGGCTCTTCACAACCTGGAGACGTCAGCGATTTTCCAACTCTCATCAGCCAAAGCGAAGAGGTGATATTTCTCATAGCAAAGGTCCTGCGTGGGATTTCACGTTCTTGGCATGATGATACACATGTGGACGAAATCGTCGTCTTCATTCTATATCCATTTCAGTCTCAACTGATACATATGTATGACGTGTCAAAATATCGCACGCACTAGATAACACAAAGTACCTCTGTCGATATGAGACAATAGCTGATTAAATAGCCAAGCTAAACCTCATCCTCCATTCTTCGGTCTATGCGAGGTAACTCGAAATATTCTTTTGGCTCTCGTATTATTTTTCTCAGATCCAATATGGTGATTTGTGTTCCTTGCAACACATCATTTCGCTCTCAACAAGCCTTGGAGCAACACCTTCAGTCGCCTAGGCATCGTTGCGAGCTTTGCAACAAATCCTTTCAATCCGCGCACTCAAAGCGTCAACACATCAGAAACGCAAAGAACCATTCCATGGAGAACCATCGCCCTGCAGTCAAAGCTGCGTCGCTGCAGATGCAAGTCAAAGACTGTCAGGAAGGAAATCACCAACCACCTGCACTGGTGATCGGAGCGATTGGGGATAATCTGTTTCCCCCTTATATAGGAGTACCTCGAACTGCGGTAACACCGGTCTTTAAAATGGCATGTCGCCTCCGTTTCATGAAACCTGATGTCGATATGCTACTGAGATGCATCGATACCCAGCTAGACACTATGGTTATCTCAGCGCTTATTGAAGCTGCCCTTCGGCTATTGCCGCCTGATAACTCATCTAGCGGTAGAGCCGAGGCGGAAGAAAGAATGCGGCAAAAGAAAGAGCGGGCGCTCATTCAAGAAACGTCTTTTATCGACAAAATGAGAAATTTCGGCTACCAATTTAAGACCGAGAGAGAGCAAAAGGAATTACGACTTAGCCCAACACCTGACATCCGGTTTCATGAGCCGGTGTCAGTGAATGGACATTCCTGCCACTGGATAGAATACAAGAACTACTTCGGTTTCAAAGCGAATCCATTTATCACCTCGAAAAACAAGAAGCAATTTAGGAAATATGTGTCTGGGTTAGGACCAGGTGCTGTTGTGTACAGATTAGGATATGAGATTGAACACATAGCAATGATTGGAGTCGAGACATTCCGGGAGGCTGAATTTCTCAACAACTTGGGACAAGAGTCAAGGCTACGAAATTGAGTGAACGAGCCATAAGAGAAGGTTTTGAATTTTTTTCTTGTGTGCATTTCGCATGGTGACATCAAGCCCGAGTGATCTAAATCTTTGAAACGCTTTTTGATGGTCGCTCTTGAATGTGTTTATAGGCGAATATCCAGATAATAGTAGTCAATATACTAGATATCAGTCAAGAGAGAGGGGCAGGGACGAGAAAGTTGTAGTAATGTCCACTTGTCTCCGTATTCCAGATTCCTAATCACCACTTCTGATTGGACGTCTCATATAGCGTTACAGCCTTATTAAGTTGACTCGGTATCTAGACTATCTCTAGCTATGCCACTTAGCTGCTTGGCGTATGAAAAAAGAAAAAGAAAAAGAAAAGTTCTACTGAATGACAAAAGTTCGAAGGTTTGACTCATATTGGAACAAGGATATATGGCACCAAGGTGTCTAGGTGTATTTCTCCGTCTTCTCAATTGATGGGGCTCGGCAGCCTCAATTTCAACATTTGATATCATACTCGGCTATAAATGCTACACTTAAATTATTTTCATCCAATAGTAAAAATATCTCAAGATCCTTGTCGAATTTATTGGCCCTAGGTGCGGCTACGATTGTTGCCACGTTTGGACGCACGGAGCCCTAGCCCGAGACACTCGAATGTGTAGTTTCATAGCCCCCGCATGCAGTTTATTGATCAGATGCCTCGATATTTCGTGCTTGTGCGCTTTGAATGGTGAATACCAAGACGATCGTGTCGAAATGCAAAACGACTCCTAAACCCCCCGTCCGTATCTAATAATCTGGTCCATGTCAGCTGCGAGACTCATTGAATGCATACAGAGCATTAAAAAAATGCGATATCCAATAGTATTTTGACTCAGTCACCCGAAATCACGATGCTATAACTAGCGCGGGTATCATGGTACTATACTTATTGGCGACGGCGCTGGTTGTTATTTTTCCAAGGTGGAGTAAGGAGTAGCATACGGCCAATCATGTCGCGCTACCTATAATGCCCGGCCTAGTTACTTATCACCCTAACACGTAAGCCAAACTACTACTTGTAAGTATTCGTATTGCCACTATCATAGGAGACCATTTGGAGTATCGGACACCTTCCACGCTGGAACTCGTGATATTTATCTGGACCAAAAATCAAAACCCAGAAGTATATCTCTTCTCTGGTTTTCCCGCAAGTTCAGCTTACATCAGTTATTATTGTCATCATCTCATTTACTAGCACCTGTCTCCTCTTTAAGAGATTGATATGAGCATCGACGGGTAATTTACCTCGGGCATGCTTGCATTCTACTAGTGCATGCAGACGTAGAGATAGCAGACCTGCCTGATAGCTGAAAGAGACTAGCATTTGTACAGGCGGAAGAAAATTGTCTCTAGAGGTGACATGCGTCTGACGTGTCTGCCATTCCTGCGATGTACAAATAATAAGTACTTAAACTCCGTGTCTTCTGCTAGTAAAAGAGCTGAAACAGGCTGTGCTTATTTCTACTCTGCCTATCTTTCAAGTCGAAGGAATTCATCATGAAAACCGTGGAGAGTGCTCAGTTGGGAACCACTCCGACATTGGCAGACCCTGCTTTGCTAGAAAAAAATCGATAAATTATTCGCCTGCAATGTCGGAGAATATATCAATCTGCCACAATTGGTCGTTGTCGGAGATCAGTCTAGCGGAAAGAGCTCTGTCTTGGAAGGCCTGACGAAATTGAAATTTCCTCGCAATAGTGGTTTGTGTACTCGATTTGCCACCCAGATTATCTTCAGAAGGGCTCCCAACTTGACCACACGCAAAGTAAATGGCTCAATCATTTCAACAATGAATAACGAGGGAAATGAGACTGCTGATTGGAGTATGTCTGATATTGAGGCATTGAGTGAAGGAGAGTTCGAGAATATGATGAATGAGGTAAGGTAGAGCCTTGAAGCACAATGATATGGTACTAACCTCGATTCAGGTTCATGAAGCAATGGGCTTGTCAACTTCAATCGATGATGGCCTACCCACTTTCTCCCACGACATCCTTCGATTAGAGATCCACGGACCACATGAGAATCACCTCAGTGTTATTGATGTCCCTGGAATTTTTAAAACGACCACCCCTGGACTTACCACCAAAGCAGACATTGTTCTAGTAAGAGACATGGTGCTTAGTTACATGCGCAATCCTCGCTCCATAATGCTAGCGGTTGTTCCAGCAAATGTGGACATTGCAACTCAAGAAATCATTGAGATTGCTAGAGAGCTTGACCCTGACGGGCAGAGGACATTGCGGATTCTCACTAAGCCAGATCTTGTTGATGAAGGAGCAGAAGATAAAATCATTGAACTTGTCGAGAGAAAGCCAGAGACACAAGGGCTAGGCTGGGTGGTAGTCAAAAATCTTGGGCAAAAGGATCTTCACGACTCATCCAAGATTCGTGACATCGAAGAAAAGAAGTTCAGAAGCTCGCCACCTTGGAGCCGTCTCTCCAAGCAAAACTATGGTATTGAAGCTCTTGGGTGGCGACTCCAAGCTCTTCTGGCCTCAAATGTGCGGCGGGAATTTCCAAAGGTGAGCTTCTTGTGCAGAGGCTAGATCTGCCTGAGCTAATTGGATCGAAGGTGCGATCTGAGGTTTCCAGGCGCCTCAAGGAATGCAGAAAGGCTCTTGAAAGCCTTGGGGCAGAACGCGAGTCCCCTGAGCAGCAAAGCCGATATCTGCTCGAAGTTGTATCAAAGTTCCAGCGCATCACAGAGAACGCTCTCCATACCAATTACGGGTCCCAGGATTCTTTCGATGAATATCATAGCTTAAGATTGGTAACTCTGGTAGCTAACCGAAATGCGCAATTTTCTGACGAAGTTTCCAACCAAGGGCATGTCTACTGCTTCAATACGCATAGCCATGATGATGACTCGGAAAATGATCCCAAAACATCAGTGACCTCCCCACCAAGTTCTGTCGGCGCCCAAGTTGGGGAAGATGAAAATAAGGAGAAAGACGCCTACAACGACATCAATTCTATACCCAGCAGAAAAATCGATATTTGCCATGACATTGAGGATATTTTGCATGATGGCGTCCAGATAGAGTATTCAAAGACACAAGGTATACTCTCTTGGATCGAGGATCTCTATCTAGAGTCCCGTGGATTTGAGCTTGGAAAATTTAGCTCTTCGATCCTTTCCACCGTCATGAAGAAACAATCTGCAAAATGGCCTCCTCTAGCCGAAGGCTACATTTGCGATATAATATCTATCGTTCACAACTTTATCAGCACAGCCTTGACAATATCCTGTGGCGATCACATACTACACTCAAATATTCTCTCGTTTTTGATGGATGGGCTAATTGAGAGGTATCGGAAATCTCTTTCAATGACGGACTTTCTCCTAAAAATTGAGAGAGAGGGAACACCGATGAGTCAAAATCATTACTTCAATAGTAATTTACAAAAGTGGTAAGTCTTGACCCCAATCTTTAGTTGACTGAGGCTTATTGAGTAACTCGAATTTTAGTCGCCAGGAACGAATAGCGTCTGCTGTTAAGAAGTCTTCGTTCACTGTGGATATGCATGATGGCTCAGAACGGGATTGTTATCAAGTTTGTGATCTTGTGAGAATTCATCACATGAGTAATTTTAAACAGACGGTCGAGGATATCCATGACATTCTGAAATCATACTATAAGGTCGCACGAAAAAGATTTGTTGACAATGTGTGCATGCAAGCGGCGGACTTTTATCTGGTCACTGGACCCGAGGCCCCGATGAATATCTTCTCGCCAGCTTGGGTCTATTGCCTTTCTCCTGATCAATTGGAACATATAGCCGGGGAGGAACTGTCCATTCGGAGGTAGATATTACTCCAGCCTATCCCATAGGGGGTTGCCTATATAGGCTGAGTGGGCGTCTATTAGCCGAATACAGGTAGACCTGGCAGTGACCCTCCGGATGGTCCATGATCTTGGGCCTTCCACCCGACCCTCCGAGGGTCAGGGTCATTCGTGGGCGACCCTGACCCTGACCCTGACCCTCGGATGCATAAATCCATAGCGCTAAGCCTAATCAAATTTGTGTAATTATTTACATAAAATCTATTTATAAGACAAATCTTGGCTGTTTGTCCTGTTTGACAACCCTCAGGGTCGGAAGGTTGGACCCTCGACGGGGCGGTCCGAGGGTCATGAGGGTCACCCGCGGGTCACTGCCAGGTCTAAATACGGGCACATACTAGAGCCTCTATGTAATGATATTTATGGATATTTTACATTTTATACTTACTCATACCATATATTCACTCGAATAAAACCCGCTTACTTTTGGCTATTTTATTTAATTGTAGCGAAGGGTTGAGGTTTCTCAACTGGATCGAACCCAAGTGAGGAATCTAGCGCCCGACGGTCACCTGAGAGCGGGGTAAAAGACAAGCTTGACTTTTAGGTGGAACTTTCGCTCGGCTTGTGGCAGCCCCATTTGCCGTACTGAATGTTCAGGATGAGCTCGACATCTTTTGGCAGTGCCAACACGGGTCTTCAATTTGGACATAACCATGGGACAATTAACATTTGTGTGTCAAAGTCCTTGGATAGCTGTGATAGGTTGACTAACACTTTTTGACCTAGACGGACCGGAAAACCTTGCACAGCAGATAGATAACAGTTCGCTCCGCCCTGTACCAGTTAAACAAAATCCGACTTACCATAGACGCAGAGCTGCTCAGGTCACTAGCATTCCCGCAGATGCTAGACCGGAAGGACAACATCGAGGCATGTCACACAAATACCTGCGAATGGATTTTGGAGTTGGACGAATACCGGTCGTGGAGGGATCAGCCCTGTGGTCTGCTATGGATTAAGGGCAAGCCGGGTGCGGGCAAATCGACCTTGATGGTTTTTCTACACGGCAAACTCCAGAAATTACATGACGCTAGCCATGGTGGTATTTGGCTCGACTTTTTCTTTACCGCCCGGGGCGTGGAGATGCAACGTACACCGCTAGGAATGCTCCGATCGTTACTGAACCAGATTTTTGTCCGTGACCCGACTATACGGCCTCAGGTGCGCGAGATCTATGAACAACGATGTAGGCAGTTTGGATTCGGTGAACGGAAGTGGCAATGGCCACGGACGGTGCTAGAAGAGTTACTGGCAAGTGCCATCCTGGCATCAGCCGCGAAACAGCGTATGACCATTTTTGTGGATGCGTTAGATGAGGCTGGTACTGAGTCCGCTCAGCAGCTCGCAGTATATTTCCAGCGTCTTGTTGATCGTGCCGAGAGAAAGAAGATAGCCCTTCAGGTCTATATTTCATGTCGCCACTATCCTATCTTGGAAAGTTCCCAGACAGTAGCGATACATGTTGAAGACCACAACCAAGGCGACATTGCTACATATATCAAGGATATGCTTCTTGAGACAGAGTTCGGAGACGCTTCTAGTCAAGGTATGAGAGAGGTGCTGGTGGAAGAACTAGCCCAGCAAGCTAAGGGTGTGTTCCAATGGGCCTATCTTATAATACCCCTTATCAAGCAAAGGGTTACCGAAGGAGAATCAATCAGTGATATCCGTGATTGGTTGGGCGAGGTTCCAGCCGGCCTGGAAAATGTCTACATATATATTCTGAGCAACGTGATCGCGGCTAACAATCGAGTTCAGTCATTCCTATTCTTTCAATGGATATGCCTGGCCGAGCGACCCTTGACTGTAGTCGAAATACGATACGCATTGGCGGCTGAAAATGCTCAAATATCGCCGTCTCGAACCATATGGGAGAAGCTCCACGGCTTTGTTGAAAGCAATGAACGTATGAAGCGAAGAGTCAAGGCTCTTGCTGGTGGACTGGCCGAAGTAGTCTCAAGCGGCAACGACGAGGAGACTATACAGGTAGTACACCAGTCAGTCAATGATTTCTTGCGCGCAAAAGGACTTCTACTTCTCTACCATAGCATCAGCGGTAGAACTGGGTCTATGGATATGGACACTATCCTCTTTCAGTCCCAGGCAACTCTCTACCGATCGTGCCTGGTATATCTTGCCACCATTTGTTCAAACAAACAGATGAGTCATTTTCAGAGGTCCAAAGATAACCTTGTCTGTGATCACCCATTTCTGAAATATACGACGATCAATATCTTTATTCATGCAGAAAAGGCCGCCGGCTCTCGAGGTGCCTTGCTGTATAATGAAAACGACATTCTGCAAGGAATGATCAGTGCTTGGATTCGAATATACCAGTGTCTTGATCCTAGTAGTGCAGCATGTCCAGCCATAGGGACAACTGTTTTACATATGGCAGCCTCTGCGAATCTGGTTGACGTGATAATACCCTTGTTGTTAGGCGATGAGTATATTGAAAAATCAAACAGAGTTGGTAATACGGCACTACACTTTGCAGCACAAGCTGGACACACTACAGCCGGCAAGATATTGCAGGAAAAAGGAGCGAATCGAGAAGCGAAGAACAACGGCGGAGCGACTCCTCTGATGGAGGCGGCCAGGTGTGGACATTTGGGATTTGTCGAATGGCTTCTAGAAGAGGGTGTGGAGATTAAGACAGGAGGTGGAGCTGCGCTACAGATAGCTGCATTGAAAGGTCACAGTGGGATTGTAGAGATCCTGCTCGAGGCCCGGGCCGATGTCAATGCCCAGGGTGGTAAATACGGCAATGCCTTACAGGCTGCTGCAGGTGCATATAATGGAAGTGCTGAGACAGTCAAGATCCTGCTCGACGCTCAGGCCGATGTCAATGCCCAGGGTGGTGAATTCGGCAATGCCTTACAGGCTGCTGCATATAATAGAAGTGCTGAGACAGTCAAGATCCTGCTCGACGCTCAGGCCGATGTCAATGCCCAGGGTGGTGAATACGGAAATGCCTTACAGGCTGCTGCATATAATGGAAGTGCTGAGACAGTCAGGATCCTGCTCGATGCTCAGGCCGATGTCAATGCCCAGGGTGGTGAATTCGGCAATGCCTTACAGGCTGCTGCATGGAGAGGAAGTGCTGAGACAGTCAAGATCCTGCTCGACGCTCAGGCCGATGTCAATGCCCAGGGTGGTGAATACGGCAATGCCCTACAGGCTGCTGCATGGAGAGGAAGTGCTGAGACAGTCAAGATCCTGCTCGATGCTCAGGCCGATGTCAATGCCCAGGGTGGTGAATTCGGCAATGCCTTACAGGCTGCTGCATGGAGAGGAAATGCTGAGATAGTCAAGATCCTGCTCGACGCTCAGGCCGATGTCAATGCCCAGGGTGGTAAATACGGCAATGCCCTACAGGCTGCTGCATATAATGGAAGTGCTGAGACAGTCAAGATCCTGCTCGATGCTCAGGCCGATGTCAATGCCCAGGGTGGTGAATACGGAAATGCCCTACAGGCTGCTGCATGGAGAGGAAGTGCTGAGACAGTCAAGATCCTGCTCGACGCTCAGGCCGATGTCAATGCTCAGGGTGGTGAATACGGCAACGCCCTTCAGGCTGCTGCAGGTGCATATAATGGAAGTGCTGAGACAGTCAAGATCCTGCTCGACGCTCAGGCCGATGTCAATGCCCAGGGTGGTCAATACGGCAATGCCTTACAGGCTGCTGCATGGAGAGGAAATGCTGAGACAGTCAAGATCCTACTCGACGCTCAGGCCGATATCAATGCCCTAGGTGGTGAATACGGATCATCTCTGTTGGCGGCTATCTACTCGGGCCATGCTGATGTTACTGGAATTCTTCTTTCTGCTGGCGCAGATGTAGGCCTTACAGATGGCCTCGATCAGACTCCTCTTCACATTGCAGCTTCAAAAGATAGGGCTCACCTTCTCTTTCTATTTCCGCAACTTGCTTCAGCTATCAATAAGCGCAACAAGCTCCTGCAAACCCCTCTCCACCTGGCTATCTGCTTTGGCCACATCCACTTCGCTATAAAACTTCTTCATCTTGGTGCCGACCCTTCTCTTCCAGACGGCTATGGCAGACATGCGATGGACTGGGCCGTCGGGCAAGGAACTTTGATACACCAAATACGTAAACGATGTCCTCGGCTCTCATTGACACCTCACGAAACTCAAAAATCAATTGTTCAACAATCCCTCTTCCACCTCTCCGATATTCTTCCTGAGCTCAGCCCGAATTACGCATGGTTAATTTTGCAACACTTAGCTCGGTATTTCCTATTTCTTAATAACACGACCAACGCACGCCATCTCTTTCAGTTTCGCCTTTCTCATAATAGCTTCCTTGCCACTCATATGATTAAGGCTATCTGCAATTTCTGCCATATGTCTATCACTGGGCCTCGGTCTGTATGCAGAATCTGTGCCAATATGGATATCTGTTCTTCCTGTGTACTCAAACACCCTTTTCATCACAGATTAAATCCAGATCAGAAACATGAAGTCTTTGAGGTGCCTGAACTTCCTGATAAGGAGTCTCAACTCACCGGACCAGTATCACAGCAATTGATTTACTTCCTCAATCAACATTCTTCTGAGCCTCTCGGGGAAAACAACAAGCAATCCGAGATGAAGCTATTGAAAGATTCCTCATCTTTACTATCACGGGAAATGAAAGCTCTGGTTCCATACGCTTTGTCAAAACCGGTAATAATATTCTGTGCGATCTTGTTCGGGCTACTGGCTACTTTCTTAAGGTCTTAGCCCTTTAAAGGTGTTTTAACTTAGTAAATCAATCAATCCATCAAAGTTCAATTAAGCTGTTGCAGTCTAACTAATTGCGTATGACTATGCAGGCGCTTCATCCAACTGAAGCAAGAGCTCTAAGCCAAACGCTGAGTGGGATCTTCTTGGAGAGGAAGCTCTGAAGATAGATACTAATACCTTGTATTGTACTAACTGACTGACTGACTCAGAGGAAAAGAGGAGAAAGGAACAGAGAGAAAGCTATTTAACCTACAGTCCTGGGACACGGGTTACGTGATCGCGCACCCCAACATGATCCTCTGCTTCCGGCCTTGCTCATTGAGTCCAGCCGCCGAATTAATTTATCTCCGTCGCCGAGCTCCTTGCGACGCTCAACTACGTCCTGACTGCCCGTGGACTGGAGTGTCAAGCCGCCCTGGGCCTGGTTCCAGATGCTGACGTCAAGAAACCGGACTGGTTCGAGAAGCGGCACGTTTCACACCTGGTCCAGGACTCTGCTCGCTTCGCGGGTGCAGAGCTGGACGATAACATTGGCAGTGGCTCAGACCACATCGAAAAGATCGGGAGTGCCAACACTGTAGAAGAGGCAGTCGAGGCCGTTGGAGCCGCGGTGCTGGACGATCTGAGCAAGTTGATTATCATGCCGGTGGACCGGATCCTGCTTCACCGGACGCTCGAGTCGTACGGAGTCGACTCGTTGGTGGTGGTTGAATTTCGCAACTGGGTCGTGGCGATGCTGGCTGCTGACATCTCGATTCTCGTCATTCGTGAGTCCAGGAGCATTGATAATCTGATCCAGTTGGTCGCGAGTAAATCGAGATTGGTCCCAGTCAAGCCCCAAGAAGCTGTGTCGAAGCTAGGTTGAAACGCCATAACTATGGATAAAGTTTATATAGTATTTTGCTTGTGTTGCACGGTACTAGTAGTATGGACTTACTTTCAGATATATATATTTTTCCTATACTGGGTTCGTTTATCAGTAATCCCCTGCTTCTCCTTTTTTCTTTCGTCAAGTGTACCTAATTATGTCTGCAAATTCTTATTGACATTCCAAGCACACAGTAGCTGCGGAATTTAAAGGTAGGGAGGGTGTGGGCGGCGAGTTTTATTGATCAGTGTCTCTATCTTAACAAGGAGTATGAAATAAGTAATCTTGGCATATCTCGTTGCGCACGACGCAAAAACTGCGGAGAATACCGCTGGTAGATTATAGCAATCATGACACATAAAATCAGCATTTCCGAAGCCCACCCGTGCTCAATGCGACCCCTGAGCTGTGTCGAAATTATTATCTGTCTTCTTGACTAGAATCACCCCCATAAGCCCGATCCGACAGTCCTCCTGAACTAACCTAAAATATGTGTAACGACCGTCAAGGCAGGAACCAGTTGGTGTTTGGCGCGTGACCCAGAAAAGTAAATATTGTGACTGTCTGGCCCAGCCGAATATGACATATTAGCAGAAGCATCAGCAACTGCAAATAAGTCTTCTCAACTCTGTGGCTCATCCCTAGTTCTAATATTCATGAGGAACTAACCCGTTTCGGGTTGTTGAACAAGGATGTGACAGCCGGGATTGCGGTAATCATGAACAGCAGCCATTCGAACGCACCAAAAGCCGTCGTCACCTTGAGCTCCGCGCACGAACTTTGTCCGGACGAGCAGGCATCGGTCGTCGAAACGTTGACAGCCACGGCAATGAAGCCGGCGAGCCACGAGAGGACAGCCACGGCCTCAGTGACTATACTAACGTATCTAATCGTCAGGCGACTTTCGAGGCCGGGCTCGACGAAGTGCCAGACGACGACCAGGACCGTCCAGACGGCACAGAACATCAGGAAACTCCATGCAACAGGGACACCGACATGAAGGGTGGCGTCACCGTCAAAGACGGGCGAGTCAACGTGGTCATCGTGTCCACGAAACACGTGAATCGCTATCGGGGTCAGTACTCTTAAGGCTTCAAGGGTGAGTTCGCGGTGCGTACCGTAGGCGTCTGTTCCAATGACAATGGGGGCGAAGAGCAGCTGCAGCGATCGCACGATGTAGTCGAAGCGGTTGTTCTCGGCCATATCTTATATATCGGGGTCAAGTTTTGTGGCAGGGAAGTGGTGGGCAGGTAATAAAGAAGTGAGGAGAAAAGAAAGGGAAAACAAAATGAGCAACAGAATCGCCCCTCCCGAAAAGACCGGTAAATAATGGAAACAAAGAAAAGGTGAGTTATTCACAACCTGTGGGCATGGCTGGTGCCTAGCACCATATATTCCCCAGTTAGATTTTACTTTTAATCCATTTTGAGATGCGTCGCCAAGCGGTCAAAAGAACCTTATCGTCCACGCCATGGCTATGAGAATAAAATACTAGTGTAAGTCTCCTGTAGGGAACGGGAGCGATTGGATCTCATCGGTTTCACTAAGACAGGGGTTATATCGACTTACGTGGCCTTGCCCTGTAAATAATAAATGGAAATTTCGGAAAGCGGAATGGTCTATGAACATAATGATGAATGTAACTGGTCAATTTCAATCCACGGCGAATTACGCTGGACCTATCTTACTACTCCGTAGTACATACAACCATTGCAAAGCAGATAACCCTCATGCCCTATATAGCCAGCGCCTCCGAAGATCCTCCTAGGCAATTTTCATGTTTGCTTTTCTCTGTAGATGATCATGATCTCCACACCACCGACTTTCCTTCCTTCTTTGCCCTTGGTCCCGCTCGAGGAGCCGGTCGGGGATTCATGCCTGGCAAAAAATCTTGCCAGGACCATCGGATCGGACCCAGCAGACAAGCGAGCCCACTTTGTCGAGGCAACAATCGATCGGGCATGGACCCCTGACGAAATCAGTGCTCGCGTCGCTCAGGTAGCGGCCGCCTTGTGCCCGGGCAAAAGTGGCATAAAATTGTCGCCATCTTGGCTTCCAACAGCGTAGGTCTCCTCGACAGCTCCTCATCGGGAAACGCCAATCTGAGTTGCCTCTAGGTCGACATTCTGATTCTTTCATGGGCTATCCACCGCATGGGCGGTGCTTGCCTCATGATGCAGCCTACGAGTTCGGCTGAGGAAATCGCAGGCCACTTCGATCGTGTGCCGCCGGTTGCCATGTTTGCCTCACAAGAGCTACTCCCTCTAGCCCAAGAAGCCGTTCAACTGAGCTCCCTATCAGATCTGCCGCTCTACAGGCTGTCCGTGCCTAGAGGAATGACCAACCTGTCCAGAATCACGACGCTTGATGACTTGATCGAAGTCGCTAAGGATCTACCTCCGGTGCAGAAGGGTGCTTTGTCTGTCAACGAAGCGAGTCGACGTGTGGCGTACTACTGTACCACGAGCGGCACATCTGGTTTCCAGGTAACTAATGCCACACGACTCTACATGTCTTGTGATACTGATCAGATATCTTTTTGTCGTTGCTTGGTAGCGCATCATGGCCATCACCCACAAAAAGCTCATCGCCAGCATCCTGCAGGCATCAGAGATCAGAGTTTCTAGAGACCACCAGAGAAGCAGGCTCCGCGATAGCTCTGGGTTGCCTGCCGTTCAGCCACATCTGTGGCTTTAACTTCATGGAGATCATGGCCTCTATCGCCAAATACCGCATTAATACACTTTATTTGGTAGTTCCTAGTCCGGCTCACGGGGACATCTGGAACGCAAGCTGATGGGTGTAGGTGCCGCCGATTATGAACGCTCTGTGGCGAAATGGAGCTACGTTGGCTCAATCCGACTTGAGCTCCGTTCGCTTGATCGTGTCGGGAGGTGGACCTCTGAGTAAAGAAGCATTTGCCAAGATGCAAGCCGTGTGCCCCCAAGTGCGAATTCTCGGTGGCTGGGGTAGGATTCTCCTGAGAGCGTAGTTTGAGCAATGATCTGACAATCAGTCAGGTCTGACCGAAACCTGCGGTGTCAGGTCCCTGTCATATATCAGCGACATCTTTCCGGGCTCGAGTGGGGTCTTGCTTCCGGGCGTCCGCATCCGATTGAAAAACGATAACGGCCGTGAGATTGAGACTCTCGAGGAAATGGGCGAGATCGAGATTGCCACTCCCAGCCTCGTGTGCGGGTACATTGACTCTGCCAGGGATGCGCTTCTCCCGCCTACAGACAATGCAGACTTCTGGTGGCCAACAGGCGACGTCGGCCTCTTCCGCACGGGCCCCAGCGGCGAGAACCATCTGTTCATTGTAGATCGTATCCGGGACATGGTCAAGGTCAAGGTGAGTGGGCGGCCCAAGACCAGGTGTGGTGTGAATCCCGCACCCTGGCCAACCTTTTACTTTAGCCCTGCCAACCTTGTTTGTAGGGCAACCAAGTCGCCCCTGGCCAAATCGAGGCGTATCTGATCCAACACGCCGCCGTCGCCGAGACCGCCGTCATCGGAATCCCTGACGAAGTAGCTGGTGAGCGAGTTCTGGCCTTCGTGGTCCGGGAGCCGTCGTATGCACCTGAGACGAGCGAGGATGATCTTCGAAGGGAAATCCGGGATTACAACGACCTTGAACTGCTTGAGGTTTGCCGTCTCCAGGACCGAATCATCTTCATCGATCAGATACCGAAAAGTGCGAGCGGCAAAATGCTTAAGCAAGAACTGAGGAAGCAGTTGTCTTCGCTTGATGTCCCCAGTCCCCTTCTCTCAACTTGATAAGTGAAAGCGTCTACGGCAGCGTAGGTATACAGGTTAGACTACAGTGCTTTCTTCAGCGACGTTATCTGGCCTCAACAGCGTTAGAAGACAAGTCGAAGCCAAAACTTCGATATTTAGTCAAGCATAGTACGCAAGTCTCCGCTGGATCTGCTCCCTTGATAGTTCCCTCAGCACGTCATGATCTCTCAGAAACCACATATGTATACGATTATGATATTACAAAGATAGCCAATAGTGAAAGAAGAGAGACCAGGTCATGTTAAGCTTGAGTTAGTTCGGGTCATTTGTTTATATAAAAAGAATCTATCTGTACCGATGTTCTTGTTCTTCTTGCATGCTTAACTTCAACGCTTTCTGCAAGTCCTCATCGTTCTCATCGTCCTCATCCTCTATCGCTGTTTCACGACCCTTACCTTTGTGTTGGTGTTGCGCTTCCAACAGACTCTGCTTCTTGATGTACTCTATCACAACCTCTTCTTCCGTCTTCTCCTGAGGCGTTTTCTCGTCACGCAGACCCCGATCTGTCTGGTGAACGTGCTGTGGGGACTGGAGTTTAGACACGAGTTCCATGTCGTCGTCATCATGTGCTGCGTCTCCGTTCGACGTGGCTTCAGCCGCATCCCACGATCTTGTGTTGGTAGAATACAGAGATGACTGTGAACTACTACCCATGTCGAGCGTGGTTCTGGTGAGGTCATGGGTCCAAGTATCTGCTGCGTCTCCGTTCGACGTGGCTTCAGCCGCATTCCACGATCTTGTGTTGGTAGAATGCAGAGATGACTGTGAAACACCACCCATGTCGAGCGTGGTTCTGGTGGGATCTTGGGTCCAAGCATTTGCATTGCTACCCGAATTCGTCTGTTGGTATACTTCCTGGGCTTCTCGTGTTACCTCGTTAGGGATCTCCTTTTCCTTTTCTTTTCCCTTTTTTTTCAGATCCTTCTGGATCAGCTTCCACCGAGCGATGACGTCCTGCTTTTCTGCTTCGGAGCCCTGCAGCCACTCCTCATAACCCTGAGCTGCCCTAGATGAGATGATGTAGCTCTGCACATCACTGCCGAACAACTTCTGCACCTCTTTGTTGACCCCCTGCATCGTATGCCCCAGGATACCGAAAAACGCTGCGCCTGGCTTGGCGATAAATCCCCCGAGTCCTTTACCAATTCCTTTCGCAAAGCCGCTGGCGCCCCCTTTCCTGGCGCCTCTCCAGGGCTGGGTGACCAGGCCAGTGACGCCATCGTACCAGCCATAGCCAAACTCTCTTCCTACTGCCTTCACGCCTGACTTGAAATCGCTAACTTTTTCTTGAGGGCGTACCGTATCGTCTCCCCAAAGCCTAGGCATGTTGTGAAAGCCTCTCGTCCAATTCACTGAAATATCTACGGGTCCTTGCACAACCGCCCTGGCGAAACGCCCGGCGCCTTTGCTCACATGCACGCCAGGCGGACGGAGGATGTCGGGTTGTTTGCCGGCGTCAGATTCAGTCCGACTGCGGGATGGACGTCGGCCAGGATAATCTTGTTTAGGCACGTTCGAAGGTCGAGTTGACCGACCAGAGAGGCTGGAAGAGTTCCGAGCAAGGGTGGGAGAAGAGTCTTCTCTGACAAATCTCTGCCTGGTACTTCGTCTAGATGAAATCGATGAATCCGATCTTTCCACGACAGGCGAGACCTCACTCCTGCTCGCGGTCGTCGTTCTCGATGCCGATGCCGATACTTGGGACTGCTGTCGGCTCCGCGCAGACGGCATCTGTAAAGCTCTCCACGTCTCCGAAGGAACACTAGCTAGCCCCATGGTCATGCCGCTGAAAGCCCTCACAAATGCTGTAAAACCTCCGGAGATCGGATCCCAGGGACCGTCGTCGGTGTGATATTCTTGTGGTCTGAAGAGCTTCAAGTCATCGAGATCCAACAGCTCTGCATTCGCCAAAGTACAGGCAGCAAAAGCACTCAACCTGACCTTGGTGCGCCTGACCCGCCACGCAGCAGGTCGGGATGGTGCGAGAGTGCAGCGGAGCCGGTCAGGGTTGAGGAATTCATGGAACGACTTAGCACCAGTGTCGCTGCCTCGCTCTGCCGCGATCTTGCTTGCGAGTTCTCTGGCGCGCTCCAGACATCTGGGGGTCAGACAGACGTTGATGGCCTCGGCTAGGTTGTCTACCGTGAGTTGTTTGTGGGGGATCGGATCGGGGCCTGCGCCTGCTCGCGCGATCATGGCGCCCCAGAAAGGCTGGTCTCCAAAGAAGGGAACGACCACCGTCGGCCGGCCTGCGGCGATGCCTGCTGCCGTGGTTCCGGCACCACCATGGTGCACGACGCACGAGACATGGTGGAAGAGCCAGTCGTGCGGTACGTTATCGAGCATGAAGACGCCGTCGGGGATACGCAGCTGATCGGCGCCCATACCTCCCCAGCCTTTTGAAAGGAGCACACGTTGGCCAGTCTTCCTCGCGGCGGCGAAAATGAGTTCCGTCAGCGTGTCGGGGTCGTCCAACACGATGCTCCCAAATCCCAAGTAGATGGGAGGTGGACCGGCGTTGAGAAATGCTTGTAAGTCAGAGGCAGGTGTGTAATCAGAGGCCGTGTCGAGAAAGTAGAATCCGGCGATGGATATGTGAGAGCCCCAGTCGTTCGGCTTGGGTATCAGGGCCGGAGACCAGCAGTAGGTGTGGGGGACTCTCAGACGATGAAGCATCCCGGGGGCCGAGATGGTACTTACGGGATCCAAATCGAGACACTTTACACGAAATCGATTGATGATATCACCGAGGCCCTGCCATGAGAGTAGTTCGATCAGGGCATAGCTGATGTAATTGGTAAGTTGAGGGTCGGCATTCGAGGCTTGAACGTTGGCCAGGGGATGAGGAAACGCCTGGGTAGGGGAATATGGCATAGTGAACATGATATGGAGCGGGATGCCGAGCTTCTCTGCGCAATGAATATGGGCAAAACTCGGGGGGTTGGCGATGATACAATCGGCAACAAAGTGGTTTGCTGGGCCAGAATTGCTTCCTGAAGAGGACTCAGAAAGGTTATCATCATCAGTTCCATCATCTGCTCTGTAACAGGACCGCCAGCAGCCCTGAATATATTCGGCAACATGTTTTCTTTGCTGGCCGACATTTCCGCTCAGCACGCCACGAAAGCCCGGCCTCAAGCCGGGATTCTTGACCATGAAGGCCATCAACCGGGTCGGGTCGCCGCCAATGCTGAAGAATTCCAGGCCATGCTGCTGAACAAAGTCCTGGAAGTTGGGGTGAGTGGCCAGACGGACACGATGGCCGTAGACGTCTTTCAAGACCTTTCCCAAGGCAACGAAGGGTTGTACATCTCCGCGAGAGCCCACGACCTGGATGACTATGTTCAAGGGCGGAGGGGGATGGGCTGGCGGGTCACCTCGCAGGGAAGGAGGAATATATGGGGGAGGGAGCGGACGACTGTCTTCGACATGTGGAGGGGGGCAATAAGCCGGGACAGTTGGCGACTGAAGTGATTGATGCGAATGGCGACACGGCCATCGTCGGTGAGCTGGGCACTGGTCCCCGTGCCATTCTTTTCATCGTGGATCTCGCCATAATGTTCGCCGTAGGCAGGGGGAGGCACGTCGTCCTCGGCCAGCTCTTGATCGTCGAGTCCGATCTGTGTTGAGGGCACCCGAGTGGATTGTTCCGGCGCGGTGCCCTTTGGAGGTTGCGTCACCATGATGTGAATGATGAATGAGACCAGGCAGGTTGGCTCACCTCCTTAATCACAGCTTCAGTTCTGTCTAAAGAATGACGCGGCAACTGCACTATACAGACTGAGGACCTCTGGAAATTGAAGCGAAGACGGGGTGCTAATATCAGGATTCAGGATGGAGGCCTAGTGAATAATGGAGACGGTAGAAGGCAGCAACAATGCACGAGGCAGCTGTTTCACATATGAATCTGATTGTCAATAACTAAGCCTTTAAAGGGTTGTGCGTTGGCCCGTGGCCCCGCTTTACAGGCATCACAATAACACTAATGTACTCCAATATGTTTTTGGTTGGCCAGAGGACAGACAGAACGATCTGATGGGGGCGGATTCGGACACTTCCGTAAATTCAATTCACACGGGTGCATCAGGGTGTCGATCTTCGCAACGTCTTGGCGTTGCGTCCCTCGAAATAATCCCCGTTAAGTAAAACATACAATCGCGTTCAACATACCTGCGTATATTAAGTTACTAGTAACTACTCCGTAGATCCCCTGCTAACGCTAATGTAAGTACTACTAGTACTACTAGTATTAGTATTAGGCGCCAACATTAGTATTTTTAAATAGCCAATCAGAGCGCTCTCTCTGGCCGGGTTATTTACCTTCTACTGCTCGAGTAAAGCACGACAGTGGCACCCGATGGAAAAGTGGGAGTTGTGAGTCTTGAGGATTCACAGCGGGGTTTTCTTAAGTAATGTCTGATGATGATGATGATGATGATGATGATGAATTCATTAACCCGATGTAGCTCGCTAATTACATACATGCTGCTATGCGGGGATTGCGTCCCAGGGCCCGCTCCCGACGGCAAATGGTGGTGAGTTCCCAGTACCCAGTACCCTATATACAGGACTCGGGAAATCGATTCTCGAGGTCCTGCAACCTGAATTGTAAGGCCACAAACCGGTCGGCGTAAATGTAAACAAGACAAAAGAAATTCAATGTAAAGAAAGCTTCTATCTGCGCAATATAGATGGTCGATCCCGCATTCCCCGCGGGCGCAGAGTGTCCCCTTCTCTCTGCAATACACCTGTCCCCTCCCCACTTCTTCGTCTCCCTTCCTCTGGCTCCCTGAATCACTAGGACTGCCAGGTCTGTGTAACGGATAAAGGATCCTTACAACATGAAAACAGAATTGTCACTTAACCTTATCGGCTGGGCCACGAGAGTGGAGCACCACTGATTCGTTGCTGACCCCATGTGATCAAAGCGGGGTATAGTGATAGATAACATAGGACTCCCCTGGATCCTGTTCCTCTTGGACAAGAGTTAGCCTTGTCACGTTGAAGACAATACAATCTGTTCCTCTCTCCTACCATCGTATCTTACCCGGTTGACAGGCCGTACACCTGAAAACAGTATACCTTTACAGGTTCACACACGTCCTCTGACGTAAAAGTACAATGATACAGCTGCGATATCGCAGCACCACTGCGAGCCAAATCATTAAGATCTGCGTTCGGTAGCATCTGTTGCAGCTCCTCATTTCCACTCCCTCTCCCACCGGCATCCTCATCACCGTCGATCCGATGTGAAAATACCATCAGGTCTCGATCCGAGTAGATGCCCGGAATCTCACCCCACTGCACAGGTTTGAGCGCATGGTTAGCGGTATCGTCCATGCTGGACGTCATAGGATGGCAGGCGGCACTGATAGCCGCACTACACTGTACCACTAGCGGCATCGGGAATTCAAAGCGGCGTAGGCTCAGGAGTATTGGGACGAGAAATAGCGAACCGCCAACGATAATAGCGAACAACATAGCAACAGGTGAGTAACCACACGTGGTAGACTGCGAGGAAGAGATAGGCTCGCCATTTATATCAAAGGGAGTGATCTGTACAAAGAACAAGCTTTCTGAGACGAGCCAGTGTAGAACCGCGGAGGCGACTAGGAGCGGGAGGCTGTATCGATACGGTAGTGAGAGGTAGTAAGTGGAGCGCTGGGCTCCACGGGGCCAGGAGACGCGTAGCGGTTTGCGATTTCGCGCGTAGTTGTTGTATTCCATGGCTCCGAGCATAGCGGTCAGCAGGGCATTGAGCATGAAGTAGGCGATTGAGACGAAGAGTTGTAGGACGTTGGGTAGGAGGATCATGGCGAATATTCCCGTTGCGCCGGGTGGGGTAGGTATTTCTATTAGAGTTGATGGGCGTGCTTCGCCCAGACTGTTATCCCAGATGGTTCCGCGAGACAAGTTGGAAAACCAGGGGATGGCGACGGTAACAGCGTAGATGCTCAGGCTAATTATGCATAGGCATCTGAGATATTAGTATAATTCATATTATTACACGGAGAGGCTTACAGGGTAATTGTAGAGATCCACAGTCCCGTGCTCACGGCTTGAAACCATCGTTTTCGGGAAGGTAGTTGAAGTGGAAGCTTTGAGTATGCTGGAATATCCAGCATTTTGTCCTTCTTTTTCGTCTTCCTGCGCCAGCCCTGAGACCCTTTGACGACCAGCCCCTTAGACAACAGACAGGCCCCCTCTGTCCTCAGATCTGGACAAGCAAGATAAGATGCGATCGCGTCCCCAATTGTAAGGAACAACTCCTGCCTACCATCGCGCGCGGTCAATAGCGCGCAGATAAGTTTTACTAAGTTACACCCAATAACAAGCAGACAAATTGGCGGGCTAAACATCATTCGGCAAGACTCGTCCCTAGGAACTGTCAAACAGTGTCCAATTCGACGTGCCTGCACCAGTCTCACCCCTCTGGGTGGTTGATAATAATTGCCAGGACAATGAACCGACAGAGAGATCGTCACATTTCCCTGGAAGGAAGCATTGACCCAATTAGAAGGATCGTCAAGTGCAGCCTGCACCTCGTCCTCGTGTGTGAATTGGTACAGAACGTCATCCAAGCGTTTGGTATCTGGCGTGTTGGGAATCCAAGAGCCCATTGAAACGTTCTTGAATCCGTTCTCGGTGGGGATCTGCGCCTGTATCAATTGAATAGATGGTTCAATTGGATGGACGCTCCATTCCTCTCCATCAACCATCTCATTCACAAGATCTTTGCTACAAACATCCTCACTACCACCCCCACTATCACACATCCATTCGAAGGTACTGCCATCAACGTTGGTCGCAATGGCATGTGGCCTTCCCATGAATCCCAAATGCTCGCCTTCTGGCATTGGATCCTCCGTCACCAAAACGAGCATCCTTTGCCCGGATACATAGTCTTGCGCGAAAGTGTCAATGCACTCTTGAATAGAAAGTCTCTTCAGATCCGAACGGCTCATCTCGGATCTAACCGTTTCTATATCCAGGCCAACGGAACTTTCAAAGCAATGATTCCATCCCGCCGACCCAGTTCCGTTCATCGGACCAGGCGGTGCTATTAGCACTACATACTCTGTCGGGCCGATTGAGAAAAAAATAGCGGAGTTGTAACTAGCAAGGAAGAATTCAATCAGTCACAGCCACTTATACAATATCAACAGCGTCCAAACCAACATCAAATGAATAGGCAGTGATGTAGCCAGTAAGATCCACCCAAGCAGCTGCCTCTTTCCCCGCTCCTTCCAAAGCAAGCCTCGGATATTCGGGACCCCGATAGGCAGCCAGACACGCTTACTATTAGACCTGGCCAGGAACCACGGGTGAACCTCACGAACCTCAAGGAGGTTCACCCACCCGGAGGTTAAGGTTCCATGACCTAGAACCTCCGGGCGGTTCTATCTTGGACCGAACCTCATGGAGGTTACCCGCGGGTGAACCTGAGGTTCAACAAGCATGACAAATAGGTAAAAAACGTGACTTGGGGTCAACTACATAAATTATGTAGAAATAGGCTGTATTCTCTCGTAATTATAAAACAACACTTCATTAATGTATGCCCTTACAGGAGGATTTAGTGCATATTATGGGTTCACTGGCTCAGCGTCGAATTAGGGTTTCAACTTTCAATCATCAATGGTTTATATTATATCTATAGTTCAGTGTCGGGTTATAGTTCTCAAGAGTCAAGATTCAAGTAATCAAGCTATATACCCATCTAGTAGTCTCGACTTCTTCCTTATTCTACCGGATGCACGATGCTGCGTATCAGGGAAGTCAGGTAAGGGTGATGCCCTATTCTTATCTAGATCCGCAAATTCATCGGCATCAGATTCTTCCTCATCGTCAGAATTAACCGCAGGCCGCTTTCCAGCGGCGACTACTGAGAGTAGCGGTGCGTCCGGGGTTGCATCAAGACGTATCTCGACATCCTCCTCATCATCACTAATAGCCTCGAAAGCATGTGTCTGGACATTAAGTGCTTCGGTCGAAGCGGCTATCTCATGGTCTAAAAGATACTCTTGGAGAATCAGCCGCTGCTCCTCCTTGATATCGAATCTTGTTGTACACATGTATAACATAATATCGCGAACAGTCTCTGGGTTTAACGACCCCCGGCGGTAGTGGCATACATCGCGGGCAGAGTTAAAAAGACGCTCAACTCCGGCACCAGTCGCTGGAATTGACATGATATCACGGGCAATGCTTGCAAGAATAGGGAATTCCCTCTGATGATCTTTCCAGAAGATCCGAATAGATCCTTTAATAGTTTCTAATTAGGTAAGGTTAGTTATATGATTTATAAAGTAGGCTTACTTACTTACCACTCTGGAGATATTTGGTGAGCTCGTCGTACTGCGGAGCAGTTAATCGTTGTGAAGAATCGCCGTTAAGAGCCTTCTCAAGCTCCGATTCAGTTGTGAATAACTGGCTATCAGATTGCATCATCTCTGATGGTATACGTTGGCTGTATCTCTCAAAAAAAGACTGAAGACTCTCGCGGTATTCTTTTCTATAGTCCTTTCCTGTCTTAGGATCTGGGTCCCAATCACTTGTTGAAAAGAACTCCATCTTGCTCGACGGCGCTAAGATCGTCCCAATTGCATAGAGATTGCCTTCGATACCATCTGTCTCGCCGTAGTATTTCTTCAGTTTCTCTTTCGCAGCATCGAGGGAGGAAAGCATTAGCTGTTTCCAGGGAACCTTCTTTCGACGAAGCTGACCCATTGATCTTTCAAGATGATCGAAGAGCTTATTGTAAATCCTAAAGACAAGGTGGATACTCGAGTCTTTAGTACGACAAACTAGCGTAGTGAGCGTGAAAAAGGGCTGAAGAATGCAAAGTAAATAGTCAATCTGTCGCCACCCCTCTGCACTTAATGTAAAATGGTGTTGATCATAGTCGGAACAGAACTTGTTGAATGCGATATGAAGCCTCTTCGCCCGTCGGAGCATTAGAAATGTCGAATTCCACCGTGTACGAACATCTTGGATTAGAAGAAGCCGGAGCGTATTACTAGGCTGGGTATTTAGGAAGGCTTCCTTACGTTGAGGGCTTCCGTTGATATAAACCGCAAGACCTCGGACCTATTAGGAATCAGAATAGTTAGTGTTATTGAATCATAATTCATGATTTCTAAATAGAAGCATACCTTGTTCAGAGTATCGGCGATCTCATGTTTCTGCTGGCGCGTACGAAGTAAACGTACACGATCATCAGACCATTCTATCTCGGCGTTATCATTCTTTGGCGAAGCCTTGATTTTACCAAGTAAATCAACTAGACTTAATTGAATAACATGCGCAAGGCAAGGCACTTGGACAATCGTAGAATCCGTCTCCATATGTAGCTTCTTGATTGAATCATTCACTGCTGCGATAAGTGTCTTATTGTTAGACGCATTATCAGTTGTCACCGCCAGCACTCGGTCAGCGATTTGGTGCTTTTGTAGGATCTGGATAACTACGTCCCCGAGGTTCACGCCAGTATGAGATCCAGAAATTGGCTCAAACCCAAGTAGGACCTCACGATACTCCCATTCCTGGTCTAGAAAGTATCCTGTGATAGCCATAAATGCGTGCTTGAATGGTGAAGTCCAGCAGTCAAGCGCAATCGACATTTTTGCACCAGATGGCAGCTGTTGTAGTGTCTCTTGTTGATACTCTGTAACGAAACCCCGGAGGCGGTCGCGAATCACCTTTCTTGATGGAACGCTCGGTAGTGTAGGTGCTAGCCGTGCGTAGGAAATGAGATCATGGAATTCTTGGTGCTCGACGAAGAGAAAGGGTAAATGTGATACAGTGATTAGGTTTAGAATCTTCTGTTCCCATGTTTGTTGGGTAAAGAGAGGCGCTGGTCTTCTCTCGGCCTAAAATATAGTGAATTTATTATTAGTATTGATATTGAGTATAGGCTATTTCGAACATACCGCGTCGCTAAGTAGTTGCTGGATATTACCCTTCTTCGTAATTCGCTGTCGACACCTTGGCCCATCAAGATGCTTCTGCATCGATGAGTTTCCAGTATGATTTGTAGCTGGATGCGTAAGAACTGTACGGCACCGATTGCACATAACGCCAGGCTTTCCATCTTTAGTATGTGCAACTTGTTGAAACCCAGTCCAGCAGTCTGCGCGACGGCTGACCTCCCAGTTTAGCCGCTTCTTCTTACCAAAATCAGTTTGAAGCCACCACTTAACGAATTCCGCGGACATGTCGGTAGTAAAGACGATATACTCGTTAATACTATCTGGCTTGATTCGCGTAAGGGTGTCTAGGGCCCGAGGTCCTGCACGAGATCGGACTTGGTTGTCTAGAAGGTCTGGAAGGTCCAGAACTGAATCAAACTGGCTTTCGCGTTGGTATAGCGTATCGTCAGGGGTAAGGTACTGTAGCGCGTCTAGCGGTAACCCTTCGAAGCTAGATGATGCGTAGCCGTAGCCGTCGGTAATCTGAGACATGATAACTTTAGTAAACCAGTACAACTTAGGGAAGATAATAAGGAACTCACTAGTTATTCTGTAGAAGTTACGGGGTCTTCTTGGGGCATCTGTTTATCCCTGTTCCATAATGCTTAAATTGATATATCAACTTTTATAAAGCCCTATCTATATCTGATTCGCTAGTATAGTGGATCACTATAGAAACGAACCTCAATAAACCTCAACGAACCTCAATAAACCTCAACGAACCTCAATAAACCTCAACGAACCTCAATAAACCTCAACGAACCTCAATAAACCTCAATAAACCTCAACGAACCTCAACGAACCTCAATGAACCTCAACGAACCTCAACGAGAACCTCAATGTAGGAAAAATAGAATGTCTAAGTCTAACAATTGGGACATTTAATCCGGATTCACGGTATATCTAGACCAATTAACATGAATTCTAAAAGACAAAGTAATAGAAGAAGATATAATGGTTTGAATGATATTAAAATGAGGGGGAATTAAACTGCATCTTTATAGTTTTCTTAAAGAACTGTAGTTCTACTAATAAAGATACACATACTTTACAGTGTCTGCGATATATATATCTACAACTTTACATGCTATTTTATCGATGACCTCTATTGACCACCCACCACGTCGATATCATCGGATATTACCTATAATTTATAGGTGACCACGCCTCCTATTTACTTTTCAATGACTATATCTTTATAATTCATTATATTGATAGAGTATTCAGTGGAAAGTCTATAGTTTAACGGAACAGCTGTAAAAAACAGAGATGAATCATCAATTTTATCCAGCCAAAAGAGGAAAGGCGTCAAGAAATTATGTATATGCAGGTTCATGCGGGTCGATGGAGGTTGAACCTCAAAGAACCTCTGGAGGTTAATGGGCGGTTGGAGGTTAGTAAGGTTGGAACCTCACCTCAAGAGGTGAGGTTCGAGGTTCCGGGGTAGGGACCCATGCGGAGGTTCAAAGCCAGGTCTATGTCAAACCTTGATAAACAACGGAGCATCATTAGATCTTGAATCGTCGATTCATTTAAAGAGCCCCGTCGGTAATGGCAAATATCGCGAGCAGTACTAAAGAGACGCTCAACACCTGCGCCTGTGGCTGGGATCGAAAAGACGTCCCGTGCAAGTCCTGCGAGTGTCGGAAAGTTACGCGCATTCTCCCTCCAGAAATGGCATGGATTCGTTGCGCTCCATTCTATAGAGAGTTAGTAACGTGGTTCGTAAAATAGTAAAAGGATAGTATAAACTTACCAAGATTGAGATATCCCTTAAGTTCTTCTTCCCAACCAGTGGCTTTTGATGGTAGTGGGGGCGGTGGCTGATCCTCAGCGAGAAGGCTTGCCATTTCATCCTCTGTATAATGTGCCGAAGGTATCGCTGTGGGTGGTACTTCCCTTTCTGGCTGATGTTTCGAATAGTCTTCAAGATGGCTATAAAGCGAAGACTTGTATATATCATGCCAAGAGGAAATAGTATCATTGAGCTGAACCTGACCTAACCATTCTGGGCCTTCAAAAAACTTGAGCTTATACTGGGGAGCAAGAATGGTACCTATGGCGTATAAGCTACCATGGGCTTCCTCTGTTAATTGGTAGTATACCGAAAGCTTTTCCCTTCCAGCTTCAAGAGCCGCTAGCATAGCCTTCTTCCAGGGCACCTTCTTACGACGAAGTCGGGCCTGGGATTGTTCAAAATGTGTGAATAG